AAATGAGACAGTTTAAGCGTTAATTAACGTGGCCTCTTCCAACCAACAAAAAAAAACTAATAAGAAAGTGAGAAAGGAGAAAACGTCTGATTTGTCTAATGTTAACCAGTTTAAATAAACTGTGAAAGTGTAATAGGAATAAAAGCAAAACATTCCATTCCCAGCATTAGTTTTACAATAAATGTGAACGAAACGCGAGACTAATAAATACAATTAATGACAAGGACTAATTTTCTTAATCCCTTCTAGATCACTCAGGCCCACAACAGATGATAACCTAATCTCAAAAACTTTTGAGAAAATAGTACAACACAAGATAATATCTAAAACGACCTAGATGAAGAATATAGAAAAGTAGTCCGACTACTAGTACTGCACCAGAAAACTCTACTCTAGTGGTTATATTTGCTTCTGCCAGCGAATAACTGTCATGAGCCCTAACACAACCACCAGTGCTTCAACAAATACCTTTTAAAAAATTTACGCATTCATGAGACACTCTTTAATGAGAAACTGTCACAAAACCTTCCAATTGGCGAGGTAGAATCCAAACATTCAGATTGAGGAATATAATTAAATTCAGGTTTCGTATGACTCACAATATTCTAAAACCTCCTGAAGAGTAAGAATGTGGTCGAAACATCTAAATTTATGCTTGGACCGGATCGGATCTTCTCGCGTATGCTGTTTTCAAGCTGCGCTTAGGTGTTAAATAATTATGAAGGTTAATATTTCAGAAACTGAGAAGACCAACGTTTGAAACAAGTAAGATGGGAATACATTCAGCTTTAAGTTGTTAAACAAATCGCTTTAAACATTATGTAACCCGTTTTGCTTAGAATAAATTTATCATACAAGGTCTAATAAAATCCTTAATAGGAATTAATCCATACACACAAAATAAAAATATGGGGACTGCAAGTGATGTTAGCACATTTCAACAAAATATTTTGGATTCTAGCAACTCGGTCGGTAAATAGGGCAGTCAATTCTTTTGGTCAATCATCATCACAAACAGCTAGGATACGTGGATAGGTAGACGAGTATTCCTCATGATTATTATAATTATTGTTAGCAAAGACAAAAAATTAATCACACAAAACAGTAAACCATTATGAGGATATAAAAGATTAAGGTATCAACAAACCTAATTTGATATTTCAGATGAAGAAATAGTTTTCAATGCACTTATGCATTCAGTGTCCGATAACCAAACAGAATTTCTCAAGTTCAAAGGTGAACAGAAAAGGAAGAACCACTAAGTAACACTTTGATAATAGCTATTCTGAAAGTGAATACTGATGAAAAAGATAGATCCTTTGTTATAAAATCTTTATTGATAATCTAGATGGCTATCCAATAAACTTTAGTTTAATGATTTAAGTGTTAAAAAAAATGTAACAGATTTACATTGTAATGAAAAATTACAAACGTGTACTATCGATAATAGGGTGTTATTAATATGCACCTTGGCAAAAAAAAAAAAACTGTTAATATAAAATAATTCAGATAGAAGTATTATCTCATTTTATGAAAAATGCTGGTAGAATAAAACATCAGTGACCCAAATATGACCCGAAGATAATACAAACTTAGTAATTAATAATATTTATTGTTTTGTTTGACTTGAAAAGTACTTCATCTTTAGAAAAAAAATGTTAGCAGTATAAAGTAAAGTGCTAACAATAAGAAATAAGAAGTTAACTTTATAACGATAGTTCAGTGTTTTTGCGTTGGATAAATGATTAAAATTACACAGATGAAGGTTGACAAGCATAATAGCTATCTAAGAGGAAAATATCAAAATACATTACCATACCTAATGTTATCAATTATAATATTATAAATGAATAAGCATTGATTGTTCATTGAATTTAATTCCCATCCTTGTATATTCACATTTATAATTAACAAGTAAATTATAGTCAGTCGACTGAGTGACTGACTGCCTATACATTTAACCACTTTAATCATCTCAATACTTTATCAAATTAATTGTAGTATCATAATATGATGTAATTCAGACTAATTTAGTGACTAATATATTTATCATATTATTAAGACGTATATATTTAACGAACGATATTAACGAGGAAATTTTATTGATCTGAATGAAGTATAGCCTTAGTTGAAAATTTTGTAATGAATGTTCTCATTAAGATAACTTGAATGGTCAAATAGGTTGAATTCTAATTATGAACTAACGAAAGTTAGGAAAAGAATAAAATCTGAACAGATAGCTTTGTCATCATTATCGATCGTTTATCTATTCAAACGCATACATAATTGTATATTGTAGCTTTACAAAACCGACTGAATTTAGTTGGATAGCTAATGAAAGCCAAGAAGCACCAAACACCTATTTCATCTTGGTGCAGGACTCTTCAACAACACCCATTTATAACCTGTTGTGACTTGAGAAGATATTTTATTATTACAAATGTATGAGCGATTAACATAAGCTTTTAATATGAGAGCGATCAAAGCAAACTAGATAAATTTGAAAATAAAACACAACAGAAATTTATCGTTGAAAACCCACATGCTACTAGAGATAAGACACGAAGAGTTTTCGATATCCTAAATGAACATGACACACGAATAACAGTTTTACCTTATCAATGAATAACAATTGCAGAAATTAGGAATATCGATATCGAACCATTCTAAATATTGAATGTAATGTTTATATCATTGTATCAACTTCATTTTTAAGTTAGAATCTCAATTTTAAGTGCATTTATTTTACTCAATATTGTCTCAACTGGAAATAAACCGTTATGGAAAATATTATGAACATAAATAGTATCAAACGATAGAAGTCGCTGTGACATAACTCACATTGAATTATACAGGTCGCTCTAGATTTTACCATGAATTTCAACAACATTAATTCTTAGCATCTAGTCCTCTAAAATGTCCCACAGTATTTGATTCTCTATTCAGTGCCCCATGAAGCTCTTGTAGAACAATTGGACATATATACATATTTACAGTGGAAAAAAGTGATTTAGCAAACGTTGAAAAAGAAATCATATGTCAAGTAGCGTAACCTATTAGCAGGAAAAATGTATTACAAATGTGATACAGACAACTAATTTAAAAAAACTGAACTGTTAACATGTAATCTGAACTTGGCACTAAAGCCCTTATTTGAGTAGGAGGTTAAGGCCAGCCAACGACTTAAAAATAATATAAACCAGGACGATAAGTCATCAAAAACAAAAATATTTAATGTGCATCTCATTTAATCTTTAGGCAGTTCTAAATTTACAACTTTGCAAAAGAGCAATCAAAGAATATCAGTAGTGACGGATTTGCCTACACTACACTACAACACTAAACAAATTGAGAAGTTGAATATCCTGAAAAATTAAGTTATTTCCAAACACTCCTTATCAGGAAACAAATCATTTAATAAAGGAGGTAGTCTGACGCTCTAGAACAGATGAAACTCCCTGTACTATCAAAAGTTTAGATAAATATAACCTAAATGACTGTCACAGAATTTTAGGATATTTAATTAGGATTTAATGGTTTAACTACGTTTATGACATTTGGGTGACCAATTAGAACCTGAATTGACCGACGGAGTCCAAAGAACTTAAGAAGTGTTACAGACAGTTCAATGGAGAGCGGGACTCGCAACATAATAGAAGAACTCATCAAACTAATTAAATGCATTACTGCTTATATCAGACGGATTCCACAAAAGCATCAAGCACAGCTTATTTGCACTACAATACAATTATAAAAACAATGGTAATAAGGATCATGTTTATAAGTTTTCGAGAAGAAACTCAAATAAGATTGTAGGGCGGGAGTTGAAGATCATTTCACTTCACAAAAAGCAGAAATATCGATAAAGAACGTAAAGTATACAGTAAAAATAATTCAACAAAAGAGATGGTTGCGACGTAAAATCTCAAAACAAAGTAGATAAGCCAAAGTTCCCATAATTCAAAACAGAAGATTAAGATTAAATCTATAAAAGGAAGGAGATATTAATGATGACTAAGAATAACATGAGCACGCAAAAGAAACAGTATTAAAGTGGTTAAATCATGATGAATAAAAAGTGCGAATTTGATCTACTATGACTGACTTACAGCTATCATCATGACTTCTATTGTTGCTTTTTTCTTAATATTCTCGCAGTCTCAGCTAGGATGCATAAACCCTCTTTCATTGTTCAAACCAAAGGTCAACAACTTTATTATTTTTACGTTCCGATCTAAGAAAAATATGAGGCTTTTTTTATTCACACTTGCAATAGTATCACATGTTTTTCTAGGTAATGATTTAGCATCCTTAAAATGTCTTAATTAGCTTGGTCAATGTAAGTTCGTGTCCTCATAAATTGATGACTTCTTTACTAAGAAATCTACATCACAGTAAGCTCGATGATTTCACCATACACATATGTACATATACCCCTCCTTATAAACTATGTCTGACAACTGTATAGTAATGCAGTTGACAGCTCTACAGTGCACTCACCAAGGAATACAAATTCGTGTGGATGATGGTGACTGCTAGGTCATCTGCCACATCAAATCTACAAATTCCCAAATAAAAGCTTTCGAAACATTTAATATAAGACTTTGCAGATAATTAAAATAACCCATAGTGTCATTGAGTAAGAAAAAGAGAATTCAGCGAAGAAGATTTTCTTTTCGACGAAATCATTTACTTAAGCTGTACATTCGTATATATAGTTATATGGAAAATGTATGTCTATAGAAGGATAGAATGGATTGTATCACAAAAATGGATTCGACAATAAATAACAAATGAGGTTACGTACTAATCAAGGGGTAAGGAAGAACAAAATTTAAGGGTCAGATAATAGTCCAATTGACAGATATGAAGAAAACGACAAAACAACAAAGGTCACAATAATAGACTGAATAATAATCAAGAAAACTTGTAAAAGGTAATAATAATAAATGATTAGAGTTTAAAGTGCAAAATGTAATAATAAAAGTGCAATAAAAAAAACCTAGAAACATACCCATTAAGGGAATTAGGGCCAGGGTAGGATGAGAGGTTGGACAAATCGTTTCTGCACGCAAAGTTCAGGCTTTAGTTTGTGGATTGCCAATGCCTCTGCGGTGCATAAAATATTGATTCGAACCCCCTTCGATCCAGTTCCTTTGACTCTGTAAACTATTTTAAACGAAGAGTCTTTTGGAGCGATATGTCCACAGTTGATTAAGTGCTCCTGTATAGAACTCGTGATTGTTTTTCGCTCCCCTTTCAAGAGCCAAGCCGGATAATGTTCAGAGATGCGTTTGGATAATGATCGCTTTGTGCGGCCTATGTAACATGCCCCACATGAGCAAGTAAATTTATAGATACACATTGAAGTGGCCCAAGGCGAAAGTTTGTCCTTAACACACCCCAGAATGGTAGGTCGGCTAGAGAAGATGATTCGAAGCTTCGCTGCGTGGAATGTTTTATTCAATGATTTCGAAATCCGTTTATTTAGGATTTCAGCAGCCGTATCTCCCTTAAATTCCATATTCATAAATAGAGTTTTTTTCTCTACTGTCAATGCTTTGTCATGAGGTCTAGGTACCAAGTTTCTATCGATGAATCTAGGTGGATAACCATTTTTGATGAGGGTTTGTCGAAGATAGAATAGTTCCCCATCTATTGTGTCATTGGAACAAATTCGTCTGATCCTTGAGGATAAAGAATGAATTAAATTCCTTTTTCTAACTAATGGAACCCAACTGTGGAAGTTCGTGTATTGTCCATTCCAAGTCGGTTTTCTGTATATCGATCTCTGTAATAAACCGTCAGGCATTCTTTTTAAATGGATATCAAGAAAATGAAATTCTTGGTTTGTCTCTGCTTCTAAGGTGAATTGGATTGATGGGTGGCAGTTATTGAAAATATTCAAAATATCATTGAGGTCAATATCTTCGCAAATAATGAAAGTGTCATCCATATATCTTTTATATAAATGAAATCTTTCAATTATTATTGTGACCTTTGTTGTTTTGTCGTTTTTCTTCATATCTGTCAATTGGACTATTATCTGACCCTTAAATTTTGTTCTTCCTTACCCCTTGATTAGTACGTAACCTCATTTGTTATTTATTGTCGAATCCATTTTTGTGATACAATCCATTCTATCCTTCTATAGACATACATTTTCCATATAACTATATATACGAATGTACAGCTTAAGTAAATGATTTCGTCGAAAAGAAAATCTTCTTCACTGATTTCTCTTTTTCTTACTCAATAAGACTTTGCTACGAATTATTTAGATATTACTTTCAAGTTAATAAAAAAGGCCGTTATGGGCTGCAAGTTAGTACCCTTTGTACAAAAATTCATGAGTTACACATATCTTCCTTGTCAATATGTCGCTATTCATACTTAGTTTGCACAAGATTGGTGTTTTTGAACTTACATCAGTCATTCAGATATAACGTAGGACCAGGCACATATATGCATCGATCCAAGTTGCTATACTTCATTAGCACAAGATGAACATTCAATTCAGAGAAATGTGGTTACTTCAATGGTAGTAACGTATAAAAGAAAGATTGTCTATAAAGATATAGTACAGGAAAGAAGAAAGGTATAACGTAACTTTAACCTCACTGCTTAAGGGAAGACAAAGAGTTCACAGACCGACGCCATTGTGATCAGTCCTGAGCCATGTCACACAGAGTCTCCAACCATGGGTTACGACAGTTGCGCGGACCCCAACCAAGTAGTCTGCATCTACCAACATGGCTCAGACTAGAAGTTGGCGACTTCAAGGACTGATGCCACGTTTTGGTTTGGCCGCTCCTCACCTTCTTTCAACTATCCTCAACACTAGTCAGCATTGCGTGTCGCGGTAATCGATGTTCAGACATACGTAGCACGTGGCCCGACCATCTTAGTCGATGAGAATTCACAACCTCATAGGCTGATTTACCACCATTCCCTAATACCCTGAACTTATATCTAGCCACTGAAAACCAGTAAGCTATTAGATTTTAGAAACTTGGAATTTTCGTACTTTATACTCGACTAAAAAAACAAAAAACGGATGATATACAAGGAAAATATCTTATTCTCAATTTCTTAATTAACATTTTATTTATTCTAACTAAAGGTACTTAACTATCACAAAGGATCCCGACAACGAACCACCAGTTTTTACTATTACGTCTGGCTTCAAGTGTAAGTTATTCCTAACTACTACCAAGTTAAAGCACTGGCGTAAGGTTCCAATTTATATTGGGATAAGACTAAATGAGCAGAGAAATCTGAGGAGTACAGGATTTACAGCAACAGAATGTGAACGTGAGAGAATAAAATGTAGACCAATGAGAAAGACTTAAAAGTCATATGAACAATTTGAAGAACTTATATGAAAGTCTTTTACCGGAAGGACTATTTGGAGGACTAGCATTATCATGTTAAAAATCATCAAGGACTAAATACAAGTTGAAAATTTTAAAAATACTTGCTTGGTACTCAAACCATTTATAGAGCAAACTATGTTAAAATATTGTTTCAAAGAAGTTTTTATATCGACGTTCATTTCATTCGATAATGATTGATTTTTACCGTTATTAACTAATATGTATTTTTTCGCAAACAAATACATGACTTGTTTGTTGACATGAGCAAGTCATCAATGAAATGTTGTAGTAGTATAATATGTTACATACCTTTTCTCTTTGTTTTAGTGACCCTGTCATACGCAGTGTAGAAACCGGGTAATGCATGGATCGGTTCGTTTCTACATCACATCAGTAAGGCGAGGTTTCAGAACAGTATGATTAAATACAATATTAGCGATAGTAGAAAAGATTCAAGATGTCGTTCGGGTAAATAGGGATTCTTGAAATGAACAAAATCTGAGGTAATGAAGAAACTTAAGACACAATAGAAAGACAAGGAGTGAATGTACCTGGGCCATTGAAAATGATCCCGAGCCATGTCATCCAACGTCTCCAACCACTGATCGCAGTTATGGCACAGACCCTAAACAGGTAGTCTACACCAATCAACATTTCTCAGTCCAACAACTGATGACTGCATGGACTGATGCCAAGTATTGGTTTGCCCTACCTTTCTTCATACCTATTACTACGCAAACTAACATCGCGCGTTGAGGTAGGCGGTGGCCATACATAATAAATTTCCCGATCACTAGTTCATTTGTGGTACGTCATATTTTTTTACAATCAAACCTTAAAAGCTCCGCATATATTCACAAACTACAAATCCATACGCTGATAAAATTGATAAAATTAGCATACCTACCTAATCGTGAAATTGTGTTGATTTGATGTGACAAATCATGAATTCACGAAAAATAGAATAGGCGTAAACGACGAACAAATAGGTTGAAAGGGCTGCAGAAATCCATTTCATGAAACAAAATATAAATGTCAGTTATTACACAAAAACTAAGCAACTAGCAACCTCGAGATAACAAAAGCAGACAAAAGGTTTCGAAATAAAGACATTTATTAAAATTTTGAACAGTTGGATGGATATAACGCTAAAGGTTTTGTCGAGCTGTTAACACCAAGAAAATATATGTAGTAGGAATTAGCACAAAACGTCGCCTAGAGGTTATTACTCGGTTGGCAGTTTAAAACTAATTTTTTTGTCTGCAACAGTAGGTAGACGTGATACCTATATGGTGAGATTTAGAACAGCGGAAAGGATCGAAACGCCAACACAAGGTCTTAAGTATTGATATTCTGAAATAAGATATATTTCATAACCTGTAATTTGAGTTCTTAATGCTATTTCATTTCTGCGAAAAAATTAGCATGATCTAAGCAATATAAGATTTCTTGATTAATATTTAACAGAAACAGGTCAACTCACCAGTAACTTAAGGTCAGTTAATCCTGGGAGAACAACCAGTCTACAAACGTTAATCAAGTCAAACTCCGAACTAGGAAGCGTTAAAAGTAGTGAGGTAACAAGATCAACAGATTCTTGGTGCAGTCGATGTATTCTGTCGGTAGAAAGCTTGAAATATGGGCATTCCTCTTCATAATCAGACTTTTTTGTATCGTATTTAGAATAATGAGTAAGGACTCGACCTCCCACTTCACGAACAACTATCATAGCACAAGATGGCAAACTTGCAACTGCTAGAGAAAGCTTGGTACCAGCAATACGAACATCTAATCTACTATCACTCAGAGCAAAATAAATCATATCCAGGAGTTGATGTGCAAACCAATCTGCATTACCAGCACTTAAACCATCAACGTTTCTGCATGGTGATTTGCCAAAATTTACGCTGATCCTGGATTGAAATGGTTGAGTGAGTAATGTGGCTATTTCTAGTGAACACAGGGTTGCATTAAGGTCAGAATCACGAACAAATATTTTCAGTAACTCCATGAGACACAAAAGAGACCGACACTGAGATAACTGTCCAGACGTCGTACAGTTACCAAAGTTTTCCGAACCAGAAAATCCGAAAAGGATTCTTCTCCCTGATGGGGTATTTATGCCTGAAATCACAAATTTGCGGATTTCTTCCGTAACTTTATGAATACCGTAGCCATCTTCATTAGGTTTGTAACCAGTCTTTTTTAAATGAGATACCAAATGATTAAATGTAGAGTGTGACATGAGATGATCTACATCCTTATAGCATATGCAAACACAACCCGTTACAATAGAATCATAGTCCGAATCCGTCCTATCAGGTGAGACAGTCTTAAAGTTAGGGGTCTGAAATATCTGTAGATAAGTTTTGTCCGGGTAGGAGTAAGAATGATGAGCACATTTCTGACGATATTCATTTCTCTGATATGTCATTAAGACCCCGTCTGACCATCGGTGAAACAATTTCAAGTGGACGTCAGATAACATCCCATCAGCATTACGACATTTCCATGTATCACGAAGAAAATCATAAAGCTCATTGCCAAACAATTTGAGTAACGAAACGAATGCATTCTTATAGACAGATTTGTTCCCAAACGATGATACAAAACAGTCAATCAAATTGAAAAAAATGGGCTCAAAATGACAGGCAATGTCTTTTCGATCATAGGAATGGAATAAATCTGGGGTAAATATTTGGGGAAGCACTGAACACAGCGACAATCTGACGCTTGAATGGCTAGGAGAAGACAGACCGTGACGTACTAGAGAATCAATACAGACATCTAATCTTGGAAGCTTCAAACAAAACAAAGCCACACGCAAAATAAGTCGCAGGTTCTGGGTAGCTGAACGACGACATAAAATGTCTTCCGATGACAAAGAAAAGACTAAGGCACTGATGAGATGCTCAATATTGTTAGAAATACAGGAGCATATGTCAATGCATAAATCTCCACTGGACAACAAAGCATTTAAGGCATTTTCTGTTTTGTTCAGAGCACATAGAACGGAATCCGGTTTAGTCCAACAAACGTCCAAATAATTCGTAAAAACACAACTATGTGGCACGCCTGTGAGACTTCGATATTTTTCTTCAATGGTGTTGCAACCACCTTTCGAAATATGACCAACCGTGGTCATTAAAACTAGTGTTTGTTAAAAGATTTAAGATACGGACTTTACAAAACACGTTGAAACGACTTCAAACCGTTTTGATATTTCATTTGAAAACACGTTTCATGATCATTATCTCAAAAAAAGCAAGAAATTATGACTAATTCCTCAGAAAAATGCTACTGTAGCAATCCCTGTGGTCCAAAATGTTTACAGTGGATACTAAGTTCAAAGGCGTGTTCAACGAACCTAATTTGACAACGCGACCTGGTAAAACAAAACTTCAAAAATCAATGAAATAACAACGAACTAGATACAAACCGAAGCAATTATTGACCCGTAATGTAATATAACATCCTTATATTACATGGCAGGTCGATTTAGACGGTTCGAGTGATTGTTGACAGAACAAAAGAAGCTTCCGCTCAACTGGCTTT